TTTCTAGAAGGATCATGACTGTTCCTGGAAAAAATAAAATCCACACCAGGAACCATGCCTTAAAAAACGCAAAAATATCTGCATTTTATACATTCCTCTTGCTGCCCATTCGAAAGGACAGTTTTAATGACACTAAGTAACCTTCCAGCTGAGAGCTATAACTACTATCAAGAATTAGAGTCAACAAGTATAGAGCCACCAGTGGATTCACTTGACCATTTATTAGAAAGAACTCCCCCAGGGACAGAACAAGACAGAGCTAGTTAAGTTAGGTGTACGTCTTTTAGTTAGTACTAAAACGTTGCATTTGAAGTTAGGCTTATGTTTAGTTATGGAGTTTATGTTGAAAAGTGTATTTACGAATTTATGCCCACAACTGTGTACAAGTGAAAATAGCCTGCAACAAACTTTAATGAAGAAGAACTGATTTGTTGTCGTTACTTGGACTGAACTTCGTATTATTTTCATCAAATAATTGAGAAGAAACAGCCCAATGATAGAATACGTTACAACAATAACAAAACGTATTGTTTTTGTTGTAACGTAGTTAGTTTCCCTTTGGTTTAACATAATCAAATAATTCGTCATTGTACGTCTCAATCCCAACCTTCCCTTTGGTTTAACAAAACCAAAAGTTTTGTCATATCGAGAGCTAATCTTAGCTTTCATTGTGGTTTAATATACTGGTAACAAATATTTCACCATTTTTAGCCTACAACGGCATTTTATTTGTTGTAAGATAACAAAACCCTTCATCGACAGGTAATTTCTAAGGAATCATAAGTTTTTTTTTGTTTCTTTTTATCGAATATGCAATATTGGAAATGTTATAACTAAAGGCTTTTCCAAGTAATGAAATTCAATGGGAAGATCTTCATATTCTTAGGACTAAAGTTTAGGAAAATTAAAATCTAAAATTTTAAGTTATAATTTACACATGAATAAAATAGAGTAAGGTAAAAATTTTTTATTTAAATTGGTCTTATTGAAATAAAAGAGAATCATTTTATTTTGCAAGTTGAAGACCTCCTTACGAAACATATATGGAACATGGGTATTCGCTCGGTACAGATAAACGTTGATTCATGGCAGTCCAGTGGAACGAATGTTTTACATCATGTTGTCGATTTTTTGCTAAGCCTACACCTTGAGCTACATAACACAATGTTGATCAGTTTAACCCGAAGTCTTCTGTCCACAGTAATAACATCACAGGTAGGACACATTCTTGGATTTGTAAACACTCTTCCAGTACAATATAATATTTTTAACATTGATGGATTTGCAATTTTTCAGTTTCGCAGTTAGATGCTTTTCATAATGTTATTGAAATATTAAAATCGCACTTTACCTCAGGTGTTTTAATTCGGAATCTTCTTCTTAATCAACCCTTTACGGAATTATTATCAATGATTGAAAAATAGCATGTCAGGCATGTTCAGTCAAGTTTTTCGAAATGGAAATATTAGTGATACGTGATTCATTTTCAGCCCTTTCATCTATATATAAGACTGTTAATACTTTTAGTTATATATAGTTTTTACATCGTTCATGTGTATTTTCTTTCAAAAAAATTTCCATAGTATGTTCTTCTTTGAGTCACTTAAGCAAAAATATTCTCGAACCAAGATAGCAAAACTAAATGTACTCAATGTACTGACTGTTGTGAAAAACACAAGTATAGAAGACGACGTTTCGAAAGTCTTCCGTCTTCAGGTCCATTTCAGTATACTTTTTATGAATACTCTGGCTAAACAATCTATCAGCGAATACATGTACCCAGTTGTTGATCTAAACAATTTAGTTATCTATTAATAGAATTAATAAAATTGATACATTTTGACTAACGAAAATGTAATCATGTTTCATTGTTTGTGAGAATTATCGCTTTTAAAGTCTAGTAGAGCTTCATTACGGATCGTATAGAACATAAAATATTTGTTGTTGTTTCTTTTTTCCTTGACTATTTTATACACTTTCTTTGAATAACTGTTGCTCAAACAAAAAAGCATTTATTATCAGAGCAGACTGAGGAAAGTTTTGTTTTTGTTTTTTGTCCAGCTTCTCTATGAAAACGTCCTGAAACGAAAAGTTAGTTTTTTACTTCTTGGTAATCCTCATGCATGGTTAACCCATCTCCATCGAATACAGGATTATGAGCTCCAACTCACACTTATCAGTGATTCATCGACCAATTCTCCAATTTGCGAAGTAAGGCAGTCTCTATCTGATAAATTGTGTATCATTTAATTAATGTACTAAAAAACTTAGATGTGCCCTATTTTGGCTTTTAAAAGAAGGACTAACGTGGTACCATCTATGACAACTTTAAGGCATTGTTTGTCTTTTTGACAACTCTTAAGACTAGAATGTTTTATTTGTTAGGTGCAATTGACATGGTATAATCTATGACGACTTTTAGGAATACTTGTAAAGTTGTTCTTTTGTTGGCGGATTCTTTTAAACTACTTCAGTAAGCGCGATACGTAAAACAAATCCAAATGTTTCACGAAAACACACTGACTGCTTCAACTCTCTATCTTGAAAAAACTCTACACACTTCACAACTATCTCCTACTAGCAGAAACGCCGCCCTACGGTCGTCTGTTCGGTCAGGATCTTAGTGAACTGAACTGTGTACTTCTCTATCATGAAATTGCTCCTGACTTCGTCTAACTGCATCTTGGCAAACAATTTGATGTGCTTCTGTATTTCGGGTATGTTCCTGGGTTCTTCTGATTGGATCTTGTCTCATAACTTGGTGAACAAGCCTATCTCTTTCTTTCTCTTTTTTTCTGTAACTTGCATTTTGACGTTTCATTTTCTTTCACTTTTCCGTTTGGCAATTTTTGGCATCGTAATTTTCTATGTTTTCATCACTTTATACTCATACTGAAGTAAAAAAAAAATACTTGTGTAACTTAAGAAGATCAAGTTACTACAAAATTCCTATAGATTTGAATGAAATGAACTCTATACGAAGGACTTGCGATTCCTTCGGTCACAGAACAATTGAATTCATAGAGTACGTTTGGATTTTCCATTAGAAAAAGTCACTCGTCTTCTGAAATATCACAATAATTATCCACTAAGAAGACTCAATTTGAAATTCTGCATTAAACTCACTTTACCACAACTTTAGAAGTTTTATTAGAAAGATTAATTTCGTTGATAATAATAAATGTACAAAATTAACGTATCGTACGTTTGTTTGTTTGCTTGTAATTAAGCACAAAGCTACACAATGTGCTATCTATGCTATGCCCACCACGGGTATCGAACCCGGATTCTAGCGTTGTAAGTCCGCAGACATACCGCTGTGCCACTGGGGGACCGTACTGTAAATACATTATTAAAAAGGAAAGAAGAACCATTTCTCTATTAACGAAGCTGTTTAGGAAAAAATGTTATAAGGTCCTTTTTTTGTTTTTCAATTTTAACGAGGGTCTATTTTATAAACTTTTTTATATTGGTACGATATAAAGGTGTTATCGACATATTTCTTTAAAAAAAGTGGACACAGGCAACTAAATAAACATTTTTATAAAAGACCCAATTGTAATGAAACTTTGTTAGGAACTTCCCATTATGATGTTGAAAAATCGTGCGAAGTTTAATCCAAATCGGACTTAAACTGTGGGAGGAGATTCATAAACCAGCTTCAAATGTTTTATAACTCTCGACACGAAATCTTTAGACCTTTCTCGACCTATCTTAACGTCACCAGTTACAACCTGTAGCTTCCTCTATACATAAATTGAAACATTAAAAATTCAGCTTATAACAATACATTGTTTAATTTTTAAATTGTGTGAGCTGTTAGCTGCACTAGGCCTATTTCTGTGATTGACAGAGGGTTAAAAGTCGCAAGGCGAAACATCGAGATAAGTTTCTCACTAGCAATTGTTTTTCCCATTTTGTAAGACATATTTACACTCAAGAATGTACTACGCTTCCTTCAATTTACGTTTTGTTTTTCTAGTGTGGGTTGAGGACTGGTCACCTCGTGATATGATTTCAAAATCATTCTGTAACACTAAATGGTTTGTACTCGAAACACAACACGTAACAACATTGTTTAAAATTAAATAAACACTGTTACTACAGAAACAACTCGTCTCAGTACCTCCACCCAACAAGGTTGCGATTTTTCACGCTTCTCAACAAGCTTAGAGTATATTCTCCTAGAGCTTTGAAAACCCATCTTAGCAGAGAGAGATGCAATATGATCATGTGACATTCCATGAGAGGTTATTCTACTGCCAGCGTGTTTCCTATCATCAAATCATGTTATGAATTGTGTCCCTTAGATTTGTTGATTGAATACCTTACAAATATAACAAAAGACTTTTCCTGTAGATGGTGAAGAAATCATCCAGTGTCTTGTCACAGTTTCATCATTTGTTAGTTTTTGAAAAAATATTCATGTCTTGGATATCTCTTTTTTTTGTCCCCATATTGTTTGACTTTTAACATAAAGTTTGCGTCTGTATTTTGTGATGGACCTTGTTTAGTAAAGTGTTCTTTCAAATCAGCAGTTACATTCCAACAAGCTGGGTTTTTATCATAACTGTGCTGAGGAAGTGAGTTCTGTGTGTAGTGATGGTACAGTGTTCTCTTTGCTATATCCTGATGACACTTTTTATTCACGGTTTCTGACTTGTTCAATATCTTCATTAGTGTCATTGGCCCTACTGGTATCTTCTGTTGAGGTTCCAGGTTTACATAAATCAGCCTTGTCTTCCTTTTCATGTATTTCAGTAGAGATCACTTCATCTTTTCATGACCTGACTCATGTTTTCTTTTGTATCCATCAGCCATTTCAAATCAAGATACTGTAACAGTAAAGAATAATGGAATAAAATTTATTGTTCAAATTTATCTGGAAAATTGATATATCGATTATAAATTGAAAACTGATATATAATTGACAGGTCAGGATAAAGCTAAAGTTTTTTTTATGGTATGCCCGCCATCGTTTTGAAGCTCTAAGAACACCACGAAGCACTAATGTGTCTCATTAATCGATCACGACATAGTGAAATTAATACATAATGTGTACATACACACACACTGTACTGTACGTAGATTGTGTGTACACAGCGTTCAGTTAAGGTCAGTTCTGAAACCTTACTCAGTTTGGGTGAAACTTTACCCAGTAGCATGGCCAGGTGGTTAAGGCACTCGACTCGCCATCTGAGGGTCGCGGGTTCGAATCCCCGTCACACCAAACATGCTCGCCCTTTTAGCCGTGGGGGCGTTATAATGTGATGGTGAATCCCACTATTCGTTGGTAAAAGAGTAGCCCAAGAGTTGGTGGTGGGTGGTGATGATTAGCTGCCTTCCCTTTAATCTTACACTGCTAAATTAGGGACGGCTATGTAAAAGACAGTAAATCGTCCTTTAATGTATTTAATTCACTTTGAAATTTACTAATATTTTCCATTTGTACTTCATGCTGATGTTGTACTTTGTCTCTCCTTGTTCTTCTTGTCACTGTTGCTGACATTCCCACAACTGTTGGAGACTTTCTTCCTGTTTCTTTTCTAGTTCTTCTTGTTTCCTTTCTTGTTCCAGTTGCCACTGGTGCTGGTTTTCTTGCCACTGCTGTAGTCTCTCTTCTTGTTTATTTTGTTTCTCTTCCAACCACTGCTGTTGTCTCTCTTCTTTTTCATTTTCTCGTTCTTCTTGTCTCTTTTTCTGATCTTGTATTGTAGCCATCAAATATGTTAAGTTGTAGTTTGATTTACCACCTCTTGTTTCCATCTTTTTTTTTTTCGTTCCGCTCTCTGACACCAATTTGTTATGTATCTGCTTGTTTGTTAATTTCCGGTAGAAATTCTTTCTTGATTAAATCAGTTTATTCTTTCTCGATACAAACTGTCGTAGTTTTTAGTACACAGTAATTCCACAGTCAGTAAGTTTCTCGTCACTTTTAAACTTAACAACTTTTATAATACACGCTATAAATCACAGCGATTCACAGCCTCGATAACTTCACTCTCTATGAGTGCAAAACACACACTAGCTCGAAACAGAATCGTAAATTACCCGAAACTCATCGTGACTACAGTTCGCTTGTTTTATCCGATTATTCCTGCTGGCTTTTCTCGCCAGTCTTCTCCAAAATTCGCGGCGTTCCCCGATTATTCGAGAAACTCAGTCACGCATGCTCCCAGCGTCACGTGACTTCCGCTGTCGTAACAAAATTGTGATTGGTGTGGTCGTGATATTTCATGAAACATTACAGAGATTGTGATTGGTATATCAATGATATTTCACGATACATTACAGGGATTGTGATTGGTATATTCATGATGTTTCTCAATATAAACGTTATAATGTTTGTGATTGATATATCCATGATGTTTCACGATATTGTTGTAATCGTTTTAATTATTGGGCGGGTTCTCTTTGATGGAAAAAGAATACAAAGTCTAAGATTTTTAATGTTAAAATGTCATTTTTTCTTTAGTTTCGTTCGTTCGTTCGTTC